TTGTCATCATTATTATCATTGTTACTATTATGATACTTATTTTTATGATCATCACTGTTATTATTATCATTACTAGTTACTTAATTCGTAATCTTTTTTATTTTATCCTCATTTTACGTACAAACTATATATCATGATTGTTATTGTGTTACTCTTTATTTTTTAGAGAGTTTGTTCTAAAAATAATAACAATAAACACTTTCCTCTCTCTCTTTCTCTCTTTCTCTCTCTCTCTCTCTCTCTCTCTCTCTCTCTCTCTCTCGCTCTCTCTTTTTCTTGGCGGTCTGGCGAATTTACAGATTTTTACGCAGGTACGTGCCTCCGCGCACGGGCCGCTTCGTAAATCCGCTTGCATTTCGAAGTAAATACCGGCGGTAAATAGGTCGCGCCCATTCAACGGTCGTTTCCCGTGGAGTCCCGAGACCGTCGGGATATTTATGGACGAGGGCGAATAATGGGTATTCAATATCGTCGAACTTAACCACCGTGGAAATTCGAGGTATTCCGCGTGGTGCGGCGTTAAGCGGAATTATGCCGCTACGAAAACGTAGCTTATTCGCGCACTGAAACTATTTTCGGGTCACGGAGATAATAATAACGATCCTATTCGCGCACTCGCCGGCGGCAATGGCCAGGGACCTGTCGCGCAATTGAATCGCGCGATAACCGATGCGCCGCATAGATTCGCGCGGATCCGGATGTGCGATTTTAATCTGAGATTGCCGGCCAGATAACGTTGAATTAAATATCCCACTCATATATTCAAACGCGAGTGATGGACTCAAATTGGGAGTCTCCTCTCAATTTCGGTGTAAAGGCGATATCTCGTATTTTCCCTCTACGTTCTCGTACACAGTACTACGTAATATTACTAAAATACTTTCAATCAACTAAAAGCGGTAAACGGAACGAGTGGAGAATCATACGTAAAGAGAGAGACGATCCCCTATTCACCGCCACTGTTGCATACACGGAGAAAATACTGTACTGTAGTGAACGAAAACATCCAAAAAATAATAAATATTTCCTCGATATGAGGGTACACTAATAATATATTTATTTGAACTTACATTCTTTCATTTAAATAGAATAAATAATTGACCTCATGAGAAGCCAAAATTCCCTTAAGCTTTTAAACAATATTTATATTTCTTTGTTTGAAAAATATTAGTACAAGTAAACATGTTATTAGCACCAAATAAATATTGACTATTTCTTAGATATTTTTTCTCGAAGTATAGTAAATATTACATTAACGTTACGTTAAAATTATATATTCCATTTTACAATATTCTTCGTAAAGCTAGACTCTGTTGACTACATTGTAGCGTTTAAATTACTATAAAAATAATAAATGTAATCATCTACCGAATATAGAATGTGAAAAGAAAATATTCAAGTAATTACAATAATTTTGTAGAGAAAAGCCAAACGTGATTAACATTGTTCGACAAATAGACCGTAGTTTCGCTCATAATTTCCGCATGGCCCAAGATTGCAAAGTCTTATTGCAATTTTACTACAATATTGTCACCGTGTCGAGTGGCGAAGAAGAAATATATCATTGCACACATACGTGCGTACATATTTCCGTTTAGATTTACGATAATCAAAGTAGGCATCCAGGTCTAACGGCGCGAAGCAGCAACCGGCGACGAAGAAGGAAGTATCATCGTGGAAACATCGGCCTATAAATTCGGGAAGTGTGTTCCATTGTGCCGCGCACGGTTCCACGGTAGCGTTCTCGCCCCGATATCGAGCGGGCATAGATTTTCGCGTGCAGATATTCACATCTATACCTGGCCGCCTATCCTACCCACCTATCTATCTACCTACACCTACACCTGGATGAAACCGCGGGCGGCAGGTCGCGAGGTCGCCCCGAGAGTACGGCAGTGCTATTCGGGTCACGTAATCCGCTGTCGTAGGCAGACGAAACTTCGCTACGTAACTGTCTGCGCCGTGCGCATCCGATTGTCGTTGAAATTGGCGACGATCGTAACTACCTTCGATGCGCTTTCTCTCCCGGTCTCCCCGGAGAGAAAGAGGGTGGAGACATTACGGGGCGATCGACTGGCGTACTTGGAGAGAGTGCAGGCCCCCGTTGCGGAGTTGGACCAAGCGGACTCTCGCGCACGCCTCGGGAATACGAGGCACTCGCACGTAAATACGATCATGTAACGGAAATTCCTGCGAGGATGTGCGAGGATCCGACGAGCAAGACGAGGTAGTTAATCATGTTTTCGAGTGAGTCTGTTACGTGGCGCGGGACGCGTCGGCGAGATCGATTCTAACGCGGCGAATTCCTCTTTCCGCCGAGCAAGTTCCCACGGAGTTGTCGGTAAAATTGTCGCGCTCACGACAGTTCGATGGGATATTGAACTCACTGTGTCAATAGAAAAGAAAAAAGAGAAAGAATTCAAAGGATCGGAGCGGGGCGGGCCTCTTCGCAAATTAAATACGATTTCATCAGATGTCTCGTTAGCAGGATGATCAAACGGAGTGAATGTGTAATCAGTAAATTCTCTATGCATGAAGATACTTCTCCGTCTGCGACTTCGCGCGCCGTGTTTATTCTATTATGATCTCGTTCCCGTCTTTCGTTTGCGCTCGAACGGAATAAGATGGTTATTACGAAGTTAGATTACAGTCCGTTCCCATTTGCAAACTTGCCGACAGGATCGGAAGAGATGATGAAGAGGGGAGAGAGAGAGAGAGAGAGAGAGAGA